ACTTTTCATAAAATGTTCACCCCTTCATACTCTTTCCAAGCTGAAATTATTAGATTCGAATCTTGATTTAATAATATGAATCGTTATACTAATCTACTAAATTAATAGGAATTGGAAGAATTAACTCACTTTTTTTGTATGGGAATCACACTGCAAAAGAACTATCACAATCATTTCAAAGATATTTTCAAGATTTCCACGAACAGTGAGATTTGGGCATTTCTTATGGATTAAACAATAATAAGTTTCAACTTTTTTATTTAAAGGATTTTTTAGTTCAATATATGAAGGAAGAGATTTGTCTGATTTAGTTGCATAAGTAGCCTCGTTTTGTAACGGTTTTGTTTTTTTATTTTTAATAAAGAAAAATGAATTTCTCGGTCACAATATTAATGAATTCAAGTAAGATAAAACAATTTTGGAATAATTTGAAAATGAGAATATAAAAAATCTTTTTTTTGTTGTTTCCAAAATTTCTATACAATTTTGATAATGTTCTAAAAAAGGAGAAACAACGAACACAATTAGTTGTAAAATACTTAGATTTCTTAAGAAAATTAGAAACGAGAAACAATAATTCGAAACGTTAGCCTTAGGGCCCGTTTGGTAACATTCCCCTTTCTTATTCTCGTTTCCAAATTTTATTAAGAAATTTAAAAATTTTACAACTAAATATGAAAACATTCTCAAAATTATATAGAAATTTTGGAAACAATGAAAACAAGTTTATTGTTTCTGTTTCTAATTTGTTACAATGTATAAATATAAATATTATTGGATCATTCTTGAATTCACGAGTGTTGGGCTATACAATTCTATTTTTCTTTGTTAAAAATTAAGAAACATAAACAAGAAACGGGAACGTTAAGGCTCGTTTGGTAACGTTATCGTTTCTTGTGGCTGTTTTTTAATTTTTAACAAAGAAAAATAGAATTGTATAGTCCAACACTCGTGAATTCAAAGATGATTAAATAATATTTATATTTATATATTGTAACACATTGGAAACGGAAACAAGAAACAAGAAACTTGTTTTGAAACAACACTTCAATATTAAATAGTTGTTTCTTAAAAAGTCAAAATTAGCATAGTTCAACGTCAATTGACATCTACTCATTTTTTTGAAATTGCAAGTTCAAACTTCCATACCGTCCTGCTTTTGTTAGGAACACAAAGAAGAATTATATATACACACATAATTAATATGTTGGAGCTAAATAAACAAATAAAGTTGTGAGCTAGCATCTTACGACTTTACAATATTTTAATAGATTAATATATAGAACATCAAAATGATTAGTTGAAATCGATAATATAATAGAGAGATTAATAATTTTTTTTAGATCCCCTTATAATAACAATTAAATACATCACATTGTAAAACAATAAAAATGGTTGAAAATAATGTCTACATTATCTTATTCATTTTCAGATATCTCTCATCCAATTAGAATATACATTCATCTAATGATTTGCACAACTTTATTGTGTTAGAATATTAATCAATAATCATATTCAGTTAGGTTACTAATTTGGTCTATCAGAAATATTTATTGTCATAAGATTATGTTCCAAATAGATTTATTTTAGAATTAATTGGGTAAGAAATGGGTTAACACTATAAAAAACGATTATCAAATGTCATTTTAAATTATTAGTCTAATTTTCTTTTTGTTTTAATTTAAATGTATCATGCGTTATTAATTCATATTTTAGTATGTTTTTCTTTTATTTTATTTTAAGAATTTACTTGTTATTTATTCATTAAAACAATGATAGAAAAATGAAATTTTGTTTTCTTTTATTTCTTTATTTAAATTTCATTTCTTTTCTTTTTAACTTTTATTGTATGATTATTAGGGTGAATTATTTTTTGAGATTTTGATGCACTTGGACGGGAGCCATAGTAGAAGCTTGGCTTCATGCACGAGTGAGCATTTTACCCGGCCCTCTTTTATTATTATTATTATTTTTTTTTGAAAATATAATATCACAGCATAAACTATTTAAAATCCAATGATTATTTTTATGAATTATAATCAATGAATTTCAAAACCTTGAATATCCATAAAATACAGACTTGAATAGTCACAACATTTAATAATTCCAAACTTCAAAACTAAAATAAATTTCTAAGTAAAAAAATTATTTTCCAATTCTCTACCTTTTTTCTTCGTCAAGTAGTGCCTTCCATGCGTGTGAACCCCTCGAAGCTAAAGGAATCCTTCGAAATTTAGAAAATCGAATTCAAATTCAATTTTTTTAATCTTCAATTCAAATTTGGCTTTTTTGTCAAAAAAAAAAAAAATCAAATTTCGCTTTAATTGAATGTCAAAAATAATTGATCTTTAAAGTTTTAAATTTATCATATTTTAAATTTGAAATTCTTAGAGCCTTGACAGAAAATTGTTATAAAATTTAAAATCCATTTTTTATTTTTTCTATTTCTTTTAAGAAACTAAAGGTCCGCACAATATATTGAATTAAAATAAAACCTAAACCATGGAATTAAAAAACTAACACTTGTCAAAAAAAGATAAACTAACCCAAAAAAGAAAAATGACGATCCAATTTGTAATTTGATTGACCCAACAAAAAAAAAAAAAAAGAAGTTAAAAGAAAAAGTCTTTAATCCAAAGAAAATTCGAAATAACTCGGAGGGTAAAATTGGGAAAATATTGAAAAATTACAGAATGTGTCGACATTTGAAGTTGACTTCAACGACTTCCCTTACGACACTCTCTCCGAATTTCGCTTCTGCAGTGTTTTCATGTCGACATGGTTTCGCCAATCCATACAGATATTTTTTTTTTAATTTTTTTTTTCCAAATCAATCAAGATTTTATTTATTTATTCGATTCCAATGAATAATTACAATAATATATATTTTGTATTTTCGGCCGCTGTTAATCTGTAGCTGTACGTGAAATTCACACGTCAATTCTGTTTTCCCTGACAAACTCCTTAAAATCCCTATCCATAGACTGCCATTTTTGCCCCATCTTCTTCTTCTTCTTTGAAAGTTCCCAAATCGAAAACTGGCCTCGCCATGGCAATGGCAATGGCGGACGCGAAGCTTCATCGCCTTCTTCTTGCTTTCTTCTGTCTATTTCTTCTACTTCTTCCTGCCGTGATGGCGGCAGATTGCCCTTGCGCCGAAGACGAAGGAGAACCAGTAGGCCACCGCGATAAAACCCTAGCTCTGAGATACAAATTAATTGCCATAGCTACGATTCTCCTCGCCGGAATCATTGGAGTGTTCATCCCTATGCTCGGGAAGGCCTTTCCCGCTTTAAGTCCGGAGAAGGAGATTTTCTTCGTGATTAAAGCCTTCGCCGCCGGTGTTATTCTGTCGACCGGATTCATCCATGTTCTTCCCGATGCTTACGAGAGACTGACCTCGTCGAAACTGAAAGAGAATCCGTGGGGGAAGTTTCCGTTCACTGGCTTGGTGGCTATGGTGGCGGCGATCGGAACTCTGATGGTGGACGCTGGTGCCAGTTCTTATTACACTCGGCTCCATCTGAGGAAGGCTCAGCCTGCAGTGACCGGCGACGAAGAGATGCGCGATGTGGCTCAGGACGGCCATGTTCATGTTCGCACTCACGGCACTCATGGTCACGCTCATGGCTCCGTCGAAGTCGCCGGAACATCAACGGAGATTCTCCGGCACCGGGTGATCTCTCAGGTAACGTTGGAACAGTTCATCTTTCTTTTTGAATTTTTTTTTGGGTGAAACTGAATCTGGTTTCTGTTCATCATAATTGTCCTGAATCCGAAAAGGGGAACAGAGGACCTACACACTTTGGTTTTGTTGTTGTTCTGGTTCAGCGACATGTGTTAATTAATTGCTGAATATTTTAATCAAATCAAACCCAATATGATGAAAAATTAGAAAGAAAATAAACAGATGATGAATAATTGAAATGGGTGATGGAGATTTTTGATGCAGAATTTCAATTTTGATGGTAGGTATTGGAACTGGGAATAGTGGTACATTCTGTAATTATTGGGATTGGTTTGGGCGTTTCTGATAATCCAAAAACGATAAGACCTCTTGTGGCGGCCATCACTTTTCATCAGTTATTTGAAGGAATGGGCCTTGGAGGTTGCATTGCTCAGGTAATTTTTTTTTTAACCTTAATTAGTATAATTAATTACATATTTCTTTCTTTTGTTTGTAAAATTTATGCCTTTGTAAATAATAATACGATTATGTTAAACTTTTATGGTTATTTTTGGTGTATTTGACCTTCTTTTTTTTGATAGAGGTAAATTCAAATTGTCTTTTTGATGCATTCATCTGTTTGTATTTTGTAGGAACTTATAAATATTCAAAACTGTTTTTATAAAATTGGCAAAATGTTTATAACTATTTTGATAAAGTAAATTGTATGTTATTTTTAAATAATTGAGGCATTACTACTTCTAAGTATTATCTATATTTTCTTTTTCTTTTCTATATTTAAAATCTTGGGAAAATTTTAAAAACAAAATATACTTTTTGAAAACTACTACTTATTTTCATTAGTGTTCGGAAAAAAAAATCAAATTATCTCACAAAAACAATGAAAATTATTGATGTATGAGTATGATTTATTGAAAGTCTAAAGGAAAAGAAAAAAAAAACAATGGTTAAAAAAATATTATGATTCTTTTGGGTATCAATTAATTTTTGTGAAACCCGTGTGGATGGTCATGGTGGTGGGTCAGAGTGGTGTAATATCTAACTCAATTTATGGGACCTATTTGTCAGCATGCTTGTGTGCATTGGTTGACTTTGATTCCCACAAAAATTGACCTATGAATTTTCAAAGCATATCTTTTCAAACAAATTATTAAGCAATAAAACATGCTATGTTCTATGTTTGGATCCAAAATTAAAGCTTATTAAATTCAGTTCATTTAGTGCTTCATCCTCTTTTTGCACCTCGTATCTCTTATATTATTGTTATTTTATATACTTCAAATGAAGCTATTAAATAAATAAACATATTTTTTTAACCATTTTACTGATCTGTCCTTCAAAACCTTCTTCGAGTTATTTTAAGAAAAAAATTAGGTTAAAAAACACATTTAGACCTTGAACATTAGTTTGTAACGATTTAGTCAATGTACTTTCACTAAAATAACAATTTAGTCTTTGAATTTTAGCTTGTAATGATTTAGTGCCTGTAGTTTAAAATTTGTGACAATTTAGTCCCTATCGTAACAAAATTTATTAAAATTAAGTGTTAAATTTTATCATATAATAATTTAATCTTTCTAATTTATAAACATATTTTGTCCCTCTTTAATTTATCAATCTATATATATAAAGAAACTTAACAAAAAAGGTTTACGATTTGTAACCCACTTTAAATTACAATATATTAAAGTTCAAAGGATTAAATTGTTATAAATTTAAAAATACAGGGACTAAATCGTTACAAGCTAAAGTTCAGAGACTAAATTGTTATTTTAACAAAAGTAAGGGACCAAAAGTATTTTTGACCATTTGGGATGTTTGAATTTTGTTAAGTTTACTCATTACGATCTAAAGAGAAAAAACCTTGATTATAGACAGGAGGGTTAGAGTTAGACTAATGATGTGAAACGTGCAGGCGAAGTTCAAGAACAAGGCAGTAATAATAATGGCGCTTTTCTTCTGCCTCACAACGCCCGTCGGGATAGCAATAGGCATTGGAGTAACGAATACTTACGACGAAGAAAGCCCGAAAGCGTTGATAGTTGAGGGAATTTTGAATGCAGCCTCAGCTGGAATCTTGATCTATATGGCTCTAGTAGATCTTTTGGCTGCAGATTTTATGAACCCTAGAATGCAGAGCAATGGAAAGCTTCAAATTTTGGCTAATCTTTCCCTTTTTCTTGGAGCAGCCTTCATGTCTTTACTCGCCATATGGGCTTGAAATTCAAGCCACACCCCTAAACAACCCTTTGTGTGTATATTTTTTTATATACTATAGTTACTTTAATTAAGTCAATTTTAGTATTAGTTTTATTGTTAAATAGCAATCCAATAATAATTACATAGCACTTTTTTTTACTGGTTATTCCTGTAACTCTGGAATATTTGACCAATTTTGTAGGAGAAAGTGAAAATAGACATGATTATTCCTCTCATGACCAATTGGTTTTGAGATGGACCAATATTAATAAATAAAAGTGTCAAATTTCTTTCTTGAACAAATGAACTAATTTGTTCATCAATAGATAATTTTATACCTTTTTTAGATTTTACTGAAAAAAAAGTTTACATAATTAAAAAAAGATTAATACGTAATAATTTTTAGAATTGGTTAAAAAAYATATTTGGTTCTTATATTTTTACGTTTTTACTAAAATAATTATTTAGTTCGTAAATTTTCAAAAATTACGATTTAGTCCTTCAACTTTCCAAAGTAAGGATTTAGTTCTAACAATTTAGTTGGTACAATTACATATTTAGTTAAATTTAATAGAATTATGACATTGCTGCCAACAAAATTTACCTGATCAATGCATCCTTCGAGGCCCGTGATGAAATGTCATAGCCATTAGCGAGTGTCCCCAGTTCCATTACCTACCATCAAAATTAAGCATAAAAGATCTCCTTCACTCACTCGTTTCAATTCTTCATCATCATTATTTTCATTTCTAATTTTCGTTCTCATTAGGTTTTGATTGGATACATATGGCTGAACAAAACAAAAACAATACAAAATGTGTAAAAATCTCTCTTCACCTTCCGATTCAAGAAATTACGATGAACAGAAACCAGATTCAGCTTTGTGAATAGATAAAAAGTACTGATTCAACGTTACCTGAAAGATTACTCGGCGTCGGAGAGTTTTCGTAGATTTTATGCACGTCCTGCCCTTACTATAAAATAGGTAAAATCAATTAATAATCATAACAATAATGTAGAAGCCTAACTTTAAGGTCATGTATTTGTGGCGCATTTTCGATGGTTGATCTCCAAAAACTGAATCGGTCTATCCAAGTATTCTCCGGCACCGAGTAATCTCTCAGGTAATCTTTTTTCTTCTTTTTTATAGAACTGAATCTGGCTTCTGTTCATGGATCCAAAAGGAAACAGAGATTTACACAATGTTGTTGATCTCTAATTTTGCGATTTCAGACCTCTTTCGCTTTCGGATTCAACTTCGCTTTTTGGGAGAATGATCGAAAAATTAAAATAAATTATGATGAACAGAAACCAAAATCAGATTCAGTTTTATAAAAACAAAGGTTTACCTGAGAGATCACTGGTGCCAGAGAATGTCCGTGGAACTCAGTCGTCGGAGATCGGTTTTAATGTAGAGATATGGATGAAGAAGATGAGAGTCAGAGAGGAGAGATTAAATAAACATGTAAAAGAAAAAAAAAAGGAAAAAAAAATTAAGTGGGGAATCAGGCCGTTCACGTGAATCACCTAAATGGCTTTCACGTGAAACTTTTTTTTTTTAAATGTTTTATTTAATTTTGCCAATTTCATTCTTTTTCAAATTTCAAATTACTTTAGCTTTCTACATAAGTTTTGGTATTGACTTAAGTTCTACTTAAGTTATATTATAGATTGAAAGTAATTGGTTGAGACACTACTGTTTTCTGTCGAGTTCACAAATCGTTCACATGCTAACGAGGACGAGTTGTCGAAGTGTTCACAAGTGAACCTGCATAAAGAACAAACACTTCTACGCTCAAGTTAGTTGAGAGCTTGAGCTATTTTTCTCAGAGGAAATAACGTACCTGATCAATGAGACAGAGTGCCCCTTTTATAGGCAGGTGGGGGAGACAAAGTCGTTGAACTGTTACGACTGGTGATTACGACTGTTGGGCTCCAGGTCGATGGTTGGTGGATGTATTTTCCTTCATATCAGTTCGGTATGAATAAGATTGACAGGTACTAATCCGTTTTGTAATATGGTTACTTTGCACTGAATTGATGCTTACACGTGTCGAGTCTGATTTTGACCACCAACAACACTAATCTCAAAATCCTTACTTTTACAATTTATCTTTTGTTTTTTTTCGTTTGCTTTAGTTTGGTCTATATAAATTAAAATAAAACTTTATTTATTATTTCAAAACGTAGATACTATAGAGTTTGAAAAGAAGATTCAAAATTCTAAAGGAGAAAGTTAAAACAAAAACGATGGCAAAGAAAAAAAAAGGTACACATGACTTGATGACATGGACAAGCGGACCTGCGGGATGTAGAAGACACGTGGCAACCCAATATTGCATCCTACATTTGTTAAAAAAGGAAAAAAAGAAGCCATATCAACTAAAAATTATCTACAGTAAAATAGTTTCTACTGCCCAATCAAAAGAAAATATTTTTACTATAAAAATTTCAAATAGTGATATTTTTAGGATAGTCTACAGTTGGTCTGTACCTGTGTTAGAGCAACATAAATATTTTTCTTTTTAATTTAAAAACAGATCTAAAATTATCTATGGATCGAACAAAAGTCAGATAAACAAATTTGACACTACACTATTCATAAAACCATGATCATTATTTTACAATCTCAAATTAAATTACAACATCAG